CCGCCCGCCCCGGTCCCCGCCTCAGCTCCCAAGATGGCGGCGGCCAGAGCGGTGCGGACGGCGAGACACCGCGCCAGGGGGCTCTTCGATATCTTCGTGGCTGAGGTTCCCTGGACGGTATCGAGCAGTGAGTTTGTACCGCTCCCCTCATCCCCCACCGGCGCTTGGGCTGGTACGGGAGGAGGTGGCCCTGCCGCGTGTGGGGGCCGGGTCCGTGTAACCAGGTGTGCGTTTCCCCCATAGAGGAGCTGAAGGAGTACTTCTCCCAGTTTGGGTCGGTCCAGAGGTGCCAGCTGCCGTTCGTGAGTACCCACTCGTTCTCCGGGGCGCTTTTCGTGTGTTCTCGGTAAAAGGGGGAAGAGCTGCCGGCTGGTGCTTGCTGGGGCCCGGCAGGGTCGGTCCTGGCTGAGGCCCAGCCCCGGAGCCGGCATCCTCGGAGCAGCTTTCTAGAAGCCTCCTGTACTGTAGTCAGATTTCCGATGCTCTCCACCCTTAGTTCCTTTCCTAGTGGGTGCTGCCCCTTGTCTGCGAGCTGTGGGCCTCGTTGAGGCTTAGTGTTTTCCACTGGTTTTTAAAGAGCTTTAGAAAGCACATTTCTCAGATCCTGTTAATGCTGCTATTTCTGAATAATTAACTTAAAAGTGCTTTGACCTTCTCTGTCATCATGTTACCTTCCTTCTGACAACAAATAAAGTGTTCATGTGCCTGGTCTCACTGGCTTAAAAACTCTAAAGGTGTGGATATGAACCCACAACGTTTTCCCGCTGAGGGTTCATACCCCACCCACAGTGCGGGGCTAACTCAAAAACCACAACCTCTCCAGGATGTTCCTAAGCTGCCAGCCGGTCATTCCTCTGCCGTTGAGGTTATTTGTCTTCTGAGCACTTAGGTCAGGGGTAATAGTATCTAGTGCAGTTTTTTAGAGATGTACAGTCAGAACAAGTGTTCCTTTCCCTCTCTGTTATGGATAAGTTATAGGTCATTGCTGAAAGAGTAGAGGTTCTCCTGCCTGCTTCTATTTCTCCATGTGATGTAACAGCCTGTTAAATTAAGCTCAGTGTGTAGTGAGTTTCAGTTAGTGAGCTGATGGGTTCACTGTCAGTTGAGAACTAGTTTGGAAATGGAGAAAGATAGTTTGAAACAGTCTAGTTATTTCTGAATGTTGAAGCTGCGGCACCTGCCTGCCACACTTTGTTCCTCAGGCCCAGAACGGAATGGGTTGCTTCATTGCCAAGGCTGGCAGCTTACTGTAAACCTGCCTCCATCACCGATTAAAGCTGAACTGATGCACGTGTGTTATGTTTTGATTCAGTGATTACTGTAGGAGCGTTCATTAATGCTTAAAACTGCCAGAGGTACAAAAAATCTGCCAGCAGCTTAAGACATCCTAATTAAGAACTCACTGGGTAGTATGACTACAGTGCCTTGTGAGTGAAAATTTCACTGGTGTTTTAAAGTGCTGCCAGTCATGCCTGATGATCAGTGAATTCAGTGGCACAGATGTTGTTAACTCTGATAGAGATTTGAGTTGGGATAAAAGGCACTTCGGTAGACCTGGCTTTTCTGCATTATCTCCTCTTTATTGGCAGCTGTTTTTTCTGACTGGCAAATTATTCTTAAAAAGAACTTTTTTTTTTTTAATTTTCAATGCAGTTAGTGCTTGTTGTCTTGAAAAGCCTACTTTTTTAGTATCTTAAGCAGCTGCTTTATCTTGCTGGATGCTTTTCCAGTACTGTGAAGACAGGCTGAGAGAGTTGGGACTGTTCAGCCCGGAGAAGAGAAGGCTCTGGGGTGATCTTACAGCAGCCTTCCAGTACTTAAAGGGGGCCTACAGGAAAGCTGGAGAGGGACTTTTTACAAGGGTGTGTAGTGATAGGACAAGGGGCAATGGATTTAAACTGAACGAGGCTAGATTTAGATTAGATATAATAAATTTTTCACTTAGAGGGTGGTGAGGCAGTGGAACAGGTTATGCAGAGAAGTTGTAGATGTCCCATCCCTGAAAGTGTTCAAGGATGTTGGATGAGGCTTTGGGCAACCTGGTGAAGGGTTTCCCTGCCCATGGCAGGGGGCTTGGAACTAGATGATCTTTGAGGTCCCTTCCAACTCTAACCATTCTATGATTCTATGATTTTCAAATCAGCCATTTAAATGTCAGTTCAGTTGTGACTGACTTAATAGTAGATAACTACTGCAGTTTGAAACAACTGGCTATGCATTATTCCAGTCTTCAAATATAACTTCTCTTTTTATGATTGCTGGACTCGAATTGAGAGAAAGGGATGCAGAACAGCCTCTGCTAGGCCTTTGCATGCTGTCAATGAGTGAATATCTTAGTGTGAAAACAGCTTCTGAAACAGCAAGCGTGCTGATTTCTCTGATAACTTCTGAATCCTTAAATCGAGTATCTGTAGGAAGCTTTTTATAGCCTGTATCAATATTTTCTACAGTAATTGGATTTTATTTTTTTAATTGGTATCTAGGATAAAGATACAGGCTTTCACAGACGTTACGGCTGGATTAAATTTTCAACTCCAGAAGATGTTCAGAATGTGTTTCAGAAGGACACCCACATACTTGAAGGTGCCAAGGTAATGTGCAAATTCCTTTAATGAAGTAATGTAATGAGTTGAGCTCTTTAATTCTGCCTTTGGTTGGACACAGTAACATTAAAATATTGCCATACTCGTTCCAAGTGTGATTAAGCATTTTGCCACTTATTGTGCTTTTAATGTTTTTCACATCACTAACACTTTTGTTCATTCCCCCCTCTCAACTTTACTTGTTAGGGTCTGAGATATGTATGCAAGTATCAAAATAAGGAAGAGCATAGATAAGTATTTACTGTCAATTTCTTGGAGATGATTTTGCTGCTTTTTATTCTTGAAGCTGTAATAGTGCCACATTCACTCAACTACCTAGGCTTTGAGGACTATACTCTCACAAGAGGTGCAAGAACTAAGAGGCTTCTTTATAGTAAAATAAAAAGCAGAAGGCAGGCAGTAGTTAGCTTGCTTCATTTCTTCAAAAGTGTAAAATTTTCTAGAAGCAAAATACATGAGCACTTCTCCCACTTTGTTCTAGGCTAGGTTGAGACAGTTACCTTCTATGAGTTCCACTTGAAAGCACAAGCTTTTAAGATACATCTTGCTGATACAACTAGCAATTGCTGTGCAAATTATATTCAACTTTCCTGTCAGGAGCTTAGCACTTGTGGTTATAGCTCATGAAACTGCACTGGTTATGAACTCATCTTCTGCTCTCCATATGAATGTTTTAGATGATCAGAAATGAAAAATATCAAACCTTCTTGCCTAACTAATTTGAATAATTTCCATTGTTTTCAGCTCACCCTCAAACAGCAGCTCCATAGAAGACGCGGTCAAAGAAAGAATCCAAGTGAGTGAGGAGTGGAAGGAGGCTTTATTTCACTAAATGTAAAGAAACTAAAATAAAGATTACTGAGAAACTATGAACGAGTATTTGTTTTAAAAGACAATCCAGCTGTTTCCCCTCCTTGTTCAAATAAGCTGTATAGCCACACTAAAGAAAGATGGAATAATGAATTCCCTAGCATCCATTACAGCAAAAGACAGTAATTATATACAGCAGGAAAACAGATGAAGAAAAAGCTTTAGCTACCTACAAAAACTAAAGCTGTATGAATGGGCTACATTCTTAACCCTGAGATGCTGCGCAACAGGGAATCAACAAAGTGAGAGCACTTGCTAAAGAGCAATTTCCTTGTGAAATGTATCCAAGTGGTCTCCATTCTTCCACTCTCCAGGGGTAGCTGTCCTACACAGAAGAATTAGTGTGTGTGTATATATCCACACGCTAAGAGTTGTGAACTGCTGCAATACAACACCATCTGATATTAAAAATGCCTTTTGCATCAAGTCCAAGCTTGTAGTCCATTTCTCTACCTCTGAAGGAGCAGAGGCATTTAGTCCTTCCTCCTCTTTTTGCTCTCATGCTCGTGTTCTTTAGGGCGGCTGCTATCCGATGGCCGTTTAGAACCACCATGTTGCTTAGCTTCTTCCAGAAACTTGTCCAAACCAAATGGATCCTCCTCAAATTGAACTGGTCCATCTCTGCCCCTCCCTCTGGTGTTACGATCCGAGTTAGAAAACTCTTTGTCAGGAACAAACCTGCAGGAGAAGAGGAGATAACTCAGTTGACTGTTACTTCAGAGTACTATTTAAGAATATTCCTTAACTTTATTTTCTTACCTATTGGTCTTTATTCGAGCCTCTAGGTCATCACCATACATGTCTTTATCCACGTTTTTACTTGGCCTGTAGATGTTTTGGGCCATATCCTTGCCACTTCTCCAAGGCTGGTCATAAACATTATAAATTTCATCCTCTCCTCCAGCAAAGCCACTGTCCATACCCTGTGAAGAAGAAAGAGGAGCAGTAGAACACAAACGAGTCTGCAAATCTTCAGCAAATTTATTCAAGATGCACTGCTGGTGTCACGCAGATACACAAAGATGGGATTTTGTGATTTACTAGTGATTTCAAATTAGTTCATACACTTAATTAGAGTATGAGTGGTTTTGGGTCTGGGATTAAGTCCAGAGAACAGGACACTATCATTACAAGCCTCAGTCAGGGTCACTTCTACTCTTCCAGAAAGCAACAGGAAGGATTACAGGCGGCTGATATTCCAGAATAATCCATCATTTCAGTCTGCCCTGTTAGTACAGCTGTCTATAATAGCCAAGTACAACCATACAGAAACATCTATTATTCAGAATTTCTGGAAAGCATGATTTAAGCTGACTGATCAAAATCACACAAGGGTTTACGTAAACTGTGAAAGCAGAAGTGCCTGCTTGTTCACTTTTGATTCATCAACTTTCCCTTCTGCCTGCAAGTCTTTCATCGGAGATATGAAAAAGAATGATTGACAAACTGCAGGTCTATTCAGGGACTTTCTGAAGTGTAATCTACTTTTTCATCTCTGAATAGTATAAAGTTCAGAGAAAATAAATGTTGTTAACTATTTATATCTTCAGAAGGATTTTTAACATAAGCATTAATGGGAATAGAAAGTATTTAACTTGCTTCTCTCTCAGAGCAGATTTCCCGTATTCAGTCAGTACATTTGTACAGTGAAGAAAATGAGGTCGCTGCAGCTTGAAGGCAAAATATTTTCTTTCTTCCCACTCCCCAGTGAGAAAAACCACAACAAAACCACTTTTAATCTGTCACACATTGAGCATATTCCATTTTTGTTGCATCAGCTATGGATAAAGGAGATCCATAGTTTCCTAACCAGTTATGTAGAGACTTCTTTCAGAGTGCATCCACATCATCCATGCGAACAGGGTCTCTTCAGTATTCTAGCTATACCCACTAAGGAAGGATGAACATGTTCTCATGGAAAGCTACACAGCTGTGAAAAGGTATTTTTACCTTGCTCTGGTTGAACAGCCTCTGGTCGTACTGGATTTCATTGGATGGCCTGGGGTTGGGTACCCCTAGGGCAATAACTTCACTGATATCTCTGTTCTCATTTCTCTGCAGCTTTGACCTGAATTAAAAATTTTAAGTTTTATTAGGTCAGTAAACCGTATTTGTTGACATGCTCAACTGCAACCTGATCCTGTATTAGCTGCTAAGAATTTGCCTCAAGAGCCAGATTTTGACTGTTGCCCTTCCTTGCTAGGTAACATTTAAAATTTGTCTCGTGGCAAAGGAAGCATTTGGGAAAGTTATGTTCAGCTGGGCATGACATTTAAATTTGCTTTCCACTACCTGCAATTTACATCAAGCTGACTTGGTCTAAAATGTCATATTTATTTTTTGCAAGAACCAGTGTAATTATATCCTGGGAAGGCCAAGCAATCTAATTTTAAGATATTCAAGATTTTAAGCCTCCAGAAACCATTTGTGATCAGACATTTCACTGGCTTGGGCAAACAAGATACTTCAGCCTGCACTCATAAATCTAAGCTTACTTCAGATGAACAGCTTGAAGAAACAAAGCCACTAACGATACTCTGGTCTCACTGAAGTTACAGGATCCAGGTTTCAACCTTTGCTGTCAACATGTTAATTAAATCTGAATATAATAAACTTCTGCTAAAGAAAAACCCACCCAAAGCCAGCAACCCCACCCTCCTCCATTCATCTGGAAAATTCTAAATTTAAAAGACAGTACTGCACTATGCTAGCACAGTAATACCATTTCATACCATGAAGGAACAGTGCTTCATACCAGTGAGTATCTCCACAAGGTAAAATTCATGCACTCACACCAACCAAAAGGAAGCCCAGTGTAATAGTTTCCCTAGTGGAGAAGCCAGTGCCAGAATGGGAATAAAGTGGCTTTACTTTGTGACTCACCTTTTGTCAGGGGCTGCCCTGGAAAGATTTCTGTCATGCTGCCTCTCTTTGCGCCGGTCATGTCTGATTTCATCTCTTTCTCTAGCTTCTCCATCCTCTGAAAAAATGCAAGATTGTTCATTACAGACAAATATTTGAAGTTTGAATTAACTATGCCACAGACACCGGCACAGTGACTCAATTCAGTATTCTTTTACCAAAGAGAAGTGATCCTTAGCGCTATTTAAAACATTACACTTCAAACAAACCAAACACATGGAAAACCACAGCTTTCTCATGCCACAAGCGATTAACTGTCCTTGAGAGGAGAGTTAAAGCAGACATACCCAACCACTATGTTTTCTCAACTTTCAAGAGTTTAGAATACTTGTCCTTCTATGAATTAATATCCTAAAAACACCTACAGATCATCATATCATACTTTTATCTCTTAAGTGTAAAAATATAATTCAAACGTGCAGGCATCTAAGTGTTTTGAAGAACGTTCTTGACTCAATACTAGAGAATCACTCTGGTTGGGAGTCTCTAGTCCAACTTCCTGCTAAAAGCAAGATCAATGCCGAATTCAAACCAGGTTGCTCAGGTCTTCGCGCACTCAGGTGGGGAAAACCTTCAAGGATAAAGATTGCCAGCCTCCCTGAGCAACCCGTTCCACTGCTGCTTGTCCTCATGGTGAAAATTTTTCTCTTTACATATGGTTGGAACCTCCTGACTCAACTTTTGACCACTGTCTCATTCTTTCACTGTACAGATAGTGAAGAGCTCCAATGATCTCCTTGTAGATATGAGAAAGCTCCCATTAGGTCCCCGACAAAGCCACATCTTCTCCTGGCAGAAGCAGCTTCATTCTCTCAGCATCACCTGACTAGGCAGATACTCTAGCTCCCTGACCATACTGATGGCGCTCCGCTGAACTCCAGTACTCAAGTTTATCAATGTCTGTATTGTACCTGGAGGTCTATAACTGCACACAGTATTCCAAATGCAGTCTAACAGGTCATCAGTAAAAGGAAATGGTTACTTCCCTTGACCTACTGGTTATACTCCTGCGGATACAGCTTAGTATGCCCTTAGCACTCCTGCTGCCGGGGCACCCTGCTGGCTTACGTTTAGCATATTGTTCACTAGGACTTCCAGGTCCTTTTCAATAGAGTGTGGATCTCCAGCCAGATTGTCCCCCAGCCTGTTGGGAAGAGGTTAGTCCATCCCAGCTGCAGGATTTGGCATTATATGACTGTATCCTCCACCTTTCAGAGAGATCATTATGGCCCTGTAAGTTCAGCATCTTCATCTTTGAAGTGTCATTTCAATCAAAACACAAAACTTATCACAATGTTTATGATTTAATTAGGTTAGCAGGTTTTGGACCTAGTTGCCGACAGAACTACAGTTCTGCCACATCAGTTATAACAGTGCAAGAGACTGAATATTGCATTTACCATTTCTGAAAACATAAAGATGGATTAGTTCTTGTAAACAAAGTTGCTCTTCATCTGTAACAAGCTTTTTCTAAAAAAAACTTGAGAACAGTCCATGAAAGCAATTACTTGCACTGATCCATTAACAGCTCTGAAATTCCCAACAATGTCCAAAACCTATATACACTGATGTATTGCTGTGAGGTTCAAATCCAGATCCCATCAAACCAGCTAGTGAATTAACCAAATTCACTAGTTCATCAAGTAAAAGACACAAAGAACAGATGTCATGCTTAGAAATTACAGTTGGTATTTACGTATTGTAAGTTCTCAGGTTCTTTTTCCAAACCCATACTTTAGAAAGCACTAAAGAAACCCATAGCATCTTAATAACAAAGAAATGTACCTTTTTCAACATGGGTTTTGATCCCTGCTCTTCTCTCCCTGGCTTTCTGAGCCATTTCTCGGAGTTTTTCCTCATGTTTCTCCTTTTCTTTCTGAGCCATCTTCCTCTCCACCTGGGCACGCATCTCTACTGCCTCACGAGCCTGCATACATAAGACATAGTTAAAATGACAGAAAGATGTCACCTGGGATACAAGCAGGTCTTCTGTCATGGAGTTAATCCAGTAAACAGAGCAGGAATCGAGCCACAAAGATGAAATTCAAAGCCAGACAGCCACAGCAGCTACAACTGAGAAACAAGACCCATGACCTCCAATAATTTAACCCACATTGAGCCACTGATTCAAAGATATTGGGGATAAGACCTTATGTCTTATGTTAGCCAAGAAGCAGGACAAATTAAAAAGCTATAGCCTATCCAGAGTTGATTTTCCCAAGGAAATAAACATACAAAGAAGATAAAAATCATATTGAACGAGTTTAAACAACCACCTGACCTTTCTGTCAGCTATATAGAGAGCCTCAGCAAGCTTGGCAAAGTTTTCATTAATATGAACAGTCTGCAATCCTCTGCCATCTGCAGCCAGACGCTTGTCTAATGGAATGGTGTAACCCTACAGTGGAAACAGAGAGGCAGTTCATCACAGAAACTAATGTTATTTGTAATAAACATTATTACATTTATTGTGTAAGAAAACAAAACCCCATAGAACTCACAGCCCATCATTAATAGGCCTCAATGGACCTCCTTTATACATGCTTTAAATTCATACCAGGTAACAATAAGCTTCACTCCAATTCCCCATTCCCCCCCAATCTGAATCACAATTTGCCTTCAAATTACACCTTACTGCAAATGACAGTTTTTCATCGGTAAGGTCCGCTCTTTGCTGTGTGTTAAGAACTACAGATAATAGCTTTCCCAGTCTCTAAGCTGTTTTACCATTTGCGCATCAAAATTGTTTTCCCTGAACTGTTCTTATACCTGTTAAGAGGTTAGATGATTCAAAATGAGAAAGGGGGAAGGCTGCCAGCAAAAGCAAGAAACCCTAAATGTCAATTTCGCCTTCAAAAGCTGAAACCTAAAAGTATTTATAGATGATATTTTAAGACTTTTTGGAGAGCTCTACAAAAATTTTTGCTTTGGTTTCAGCATCTGTAACCTAAAATTTGATCTACTAATTAGTGTCAGACCCAGTTACACAGCTGTGTTGGAGTAGAAAATAAAAACACCACAAACATGCAGCTTTTCCTTCCTCCATTTGAAGAGGCTGCCTCACAACAACAGCTTGGTAAGTTTGAGAATGATTAAACCAGTTTCTGCAGCAAATTATAAACTTTCCCTTCTCTCTGAACATAAACTTAGCGGCTGATAAAAATCAGAGGAACAGGACATACCTACTCAAACAAGAAATAAAAATAGCTAAGCTAACCAGTGATGAGAATTAATTAGTGAAAGAAGGCAACAAGGAGAACTTTCCAGAAATTTGGACTGCAGTATTAAAGAGAGACATGCTTGGTTGTCTGTGAATTACCCCTCCTTTTTTCAGTTTAGATGGCTTTACTTTGTGGGCTCCAGAAGACTTTGGTTTCAGACTCCACATGCTGCACTATTAAGGGGATTTTAACTAATGCCATTTTTTCTTCTTAAAATGCATGAAGTCTGCCAAGTAGTAATATATTCTCTCTTAGTTCTATACTCCGTCAATTTGAGAACCCTGATACGCCAAAGGGAGGAAAAAACTCAGTTGTACAATCACATGTTCTTCATGCTGGAAGCAGCTAGTTTACCTAGCTCTAGACATTTAAAACCAGTATTATTCAAGCTTAAATGATTCACAGAAGTCTCCCAGTAGGGTGCAATGTTAGAAAGGTGAACTTATGACAACTTAATTACCTTTGCATTTTTCCAGTTTGAAATGCATGGAGGAATTTTCCACTCTTGCTGCTCTTTCACAGTCATCTGGTTTAAGAGAGGAAGTAAAGTCATCTTTAGATTTACAGTAAAACGAAATACAGTTTTCTTTCTCAAAGGCAGCTACAAAACTATTGAAATAAATCAGAGTACAAATCTCAGGAGACTGCTACAAAAAACTCAACCCTTCTTCGCAGCAATAAGACGTCCATTTCTGTACTGTACCTTTGCCAACCCTGAATAAAGTCATGACAGCTTTTCAGCCATCCTCTTAAACTTTCATCACACAGAAGGAAAGTCACAGCCAGCTTGCTAACATCTGCACATTTAATGGCAGTTCAAGTTGTAGGAACCACCTCCACCACCACATTCATCTCTCAGAAGGAAGCTAATCCTTAGTAACACAAGGATTAGCTTAATAGTGTTGTCTAAAAGCAGCATCAGTGTACCAAGACTAAAGCCTCAGTCAACTCATCCATGCTGTGGACAACTCTATTTCACGCAGGGCTGCACTGCTGTACGAGAAATCTACTCAACCTCTGACAAGGTACATAGGAAGAGAGCTACTTCCAGAACTGCCGGAAAAAAACTCAAAAAGACTGCATCAGGCACCAAGTTTATCATTTCACATCAAAAGAACAATAAAGAGAAGGTGCACAGAAATGAACTAGATCAAAGTAGAATTTGTGAACCTATCTATAATTCAAGACTGAGAACATCTACGGCATTTCATACCTTTCTACTAGGAGAGTGCATTACAGGTGCTGGAGGAGAAGGCGGTCCACGTGGAATCTTCTTGTTAATTCTGAACAATTAAGAAAATAAATACAATCAGCATGTTGTATACAGAAACGCACTACAAAATCTTCCATTTGCCATGAAGAAGTTTTGAGTAGTTACTTGAATCTTGGAGGCTCCATGGGGTCCTTCTGCATTTCCACCATCCGAATAACTCTCTGTTTTGCACCAGAGTTGAAGGCAACTCCTTGCTGGGATGGTGTGTACCTGAATAAAAGAATCAAAGCGCTCAGTTCTCTGCACACAGTTAGATATTCCCTTCCCACCTCCATTTTCACTCAGTTCACTGCTCTAGCTGCATTTTCATTTTATCCACTTCGGTTTACGACTTTTCCGCTGTGAATGCCAGGAGCAGGCAACTGCACAGAGGATACTGGACTGAATGCAGAGAATCAACTACACCAGACAGAATGTATCTTCCCAGGGCTATATCCTCCTGTTTCAATGTGGATTCCAAAGTAGAAGAAACAAACAAACTAATTGAGTACACAGACCATTTAACAACACTGTTTATCTATGTCTGTGAATCCCTGGTCACTACTTACTGGTTATTAAGAAACTCGTCATGTACTTTTTTTTCAGAATTCACCTCAGGCCAAGGCTAACCCTGCCATGGAATTTTGCTGTGTTTGCAGCAGAAAATCATCATAAATGAGTATCAGCCTCCTAGTACTTTCAACTCTTTCCAGTTGCTCATTTTATGTAAGGGAAGAACCTGGTTACATGCCTTGTCTTGGGTTCAAACTCCCAGTAAAGACTCCATTTCCAGAGCAGCATCATTCATAGCGCTTCCTGACAAATCTACATTTTGTTGCTAAGACAGTAACACCCGCAATGTGCCACAGCTCATGACACATTAAGACATATTTCAACACACTTCAAACTAGGTTATCATTAGTGGGTGAATTCAAAATACATAAGCCAGTTTCATGTTACTTCCAGAAGAACAAAATTCAAGAGGACTTTCTGTTCTCAGAAATTCAAGGAATATCCTAATTTTAATCAATTTTACATACAACAGCATCTTACACATGCACCGGCACTACATACCGAATGTACTGTGCAGGAGCTAGTTTGTCAGCTGCTCGAACTGGCATGGCTGCTGCAACCTTTTGGGAGACTGACTTCTCCAAAGCTGCTCTTGTCTTCTCTGTTATCTGAGGACAGAAGTACCACAGAATGCACCTCATCACATATGCCAGACATACAATGCACCTCTGATAACTAGGCACATCAGTGCATGTAATACCTCTCTAATTGCCTCCTCGTCTGGTCTTTGCAGTTCAGGGTCATCCACGTTCATGACCTCTTTTGGCACAAGATCTGTGTATTTGCTGTAAATAACCTGAAAGACATTATATTTTATTAGCGCTGGCGAACAGGAGTAAATGTACGGATTCCAAAGGAAATGGTTCAGGTCTAGATGATACTTTAGGTACTAATTAAAACTTGTATACCACTTTAAATGCATTACAATTACGTATTCTTCAATGACTCCCACAGAACAAGAATATACTCCAAACCACATTCTACAGACAGAATAATCAAAGAAAAGAAGCAATTTGATTAAATATAATTATGTAAATCACCCTCAGAGCTGGGATTAAACATCATTTTCCTGCTTCCCTTTCCTACTCTTTTCCCTTTTCAGACTCCCCAAGACAGACAGAAAAATCCACATTTGTATTTCTGTTTTCAAGGATTACTTAAGAATTTTATACAAGCCTTTTTTTAACATCTAGATTTTTTTAATGTCATTATGTTTGCTATGTTCTTGAAAAAATAAATGCTTGAGAAATCTGTTCTTTACGCTTTCCCTTATATGGGTATGGCAGTCCTCATACAACATGCAGCTAGCTCTCGCTAGCTTTAAGCCTCAATTTTAAATACAGGGAAAGATAACTATTAGACGGCTACAGGGAAAAAATTATTGTATTGCATTAATATTCCACATTTGTCCAACAAAATAACATCATAAAGTCTTAGTTCAAAGGGTTAAAAGTCATTACAACTATTATTTCAAGCTCATTATAAAGTGCACATCCAACTATGAAACTGACTTTTAGCCTCACCATTAATTTGTCACACAAGGCCCATTTACTGCTTCTCATTCTTCACTCCTAAAATTTTACTCCTTTGAATTAGTATCAATAATATCCTAGCTTTTCAGGTACTGAGTGAAGGATATCTGAAGAGCAGTGTTCCTCTAAGGTAATTAACTCTAAGTCCAAGTGTCTTGCTGCGTGAAGAACAAAGCATGCTGAAAGAGCTCAGAGTAACCCAGAAGACAAGAAAATAAAACTCTAAGATGTGCTCTAAAAACTACAGTACACTGAGGCACAAGATGAGCTACATAAATTAGTTAAACCCTAAAATATTGCATGCGAGTGGCAAGCTGCATTAATGTGGAAGAAACCCATAATATGGATTAAACTAGCCTGAAAATATGAAAATTTTTACCTCCATCAAAAGTGTGATACACTTCCATGTTCTAATCAGAGTCCTTTTTTGAGATGATATAGACAGGCAGATATATATGTTGCACTGTGTTGTTTTTTCTAGATATTTACTTTTTTAACAGTAATGTTGAGACATTTTATTAATCTAAGATAAAACGGAGACTGGGACTGTGTGATATTGTAGTATGCCCGTTCGCTACCATTCTTCATCCACAAAACTTAAAAGGAAGCATGAGCCTGTCTTTCAGATATTTCATTTTTATTGTTACTGAAAAGCAGAATCTCCTTCTAGGCAGAAACAAAATGCTCAAGTTTTGGTACAGCTAGATGCCTACTTTTCTGGCTGGGCAGCCTCAACAGGCAGCAATTAGAAATCTGCATGCCACGACCATCGCAAAGAGAACCATCTTGCCTAACTAGTTGTGTAAGATTACTGTAGCTCATGGCAGGATTTAGACATCAATCACATCCAGAGTTTCACAAGACACCTGATAGACACAAGTGTCTTGACAGAAATTATATTGTAACACATATATCCCTCCCCTCAACACATTTTATTTTATATATGCAGAGCAGCCCTGTACACTGCTCATCCATCCTATGTGTAAATTGAGAAGCTACCATCAAGCACTGCAGAACTAATTCCTTCCTTGTCAGAGAACGGTTTCTCCACATGAAGCACATAACATTTTAGAAGTTGCTACAACTACCTGGTTGGAAGACTGACACACACACCAGAGAAAAAAATTGGCAATAAGCTCTCAAACCAAGCTCTGCCACAGAAGTAAATACATTATGAGTGTTGAATATTTTTTATTATTTCAGTTACATTCACATCCTCTTGTCCTGTTCCATGGCTGTGGCAGGAGTTCCTTCAACAACGGAACTACTGTCTCTCACTCATGAATGTTTCAATTGAATTCACAATCTTGAGAAAAAACCGTAGGTAAGATTTGTGGTTCTTTTTTTCTCCTTTAACACCTAAGCCACAGCCTTGGGCCACTAAGAAGAAATCCAACTCCTGCACATAAAAATCATCTGTGCCAGAAAAAAGTAATGGACCTAATAGTTCCATTCCTTGATTTCATTATCTCTTCTGTCTTAAAAAAAGACATGGGAAGTGACTATATGTCTTTATTTTCCTAATAAGGAGACAGAGCATCAGTCTCACCAAAATATGTCAATTACTGATGCGTTATTTTAGCCTGCTTTTCAGTCATGTAAGCAGAGAAAATATTGGAAGCAGCACAAAGCTAACCAAATGGCAAATGCTGGAAATCCTTCATCTGGACAATCAGACAGAACTCCATCCTCAGATCCATACGGTCATGCATCCAGGTTTGTCAACATTATCCAGCATTTCACATTTAGCAGATTTTCTGCCAGCCCCAAACGGGAGGCTTGTCAGACTCTCATTTATGTCAGCATTTTTCAAGGAAAATTCTCTGAAGCAACTATTTTTTAAATATGTAAGGGAACAGATGCAAGAGAGATGAACCACTGCAACAGCAGAAACTGCTGACAAGCCATCTAGATATAGGGTCTGAGTGACAGAACTGCTGCTTCTACCAGAAGGCAGAACACTAAATTCAAATTCAAAAAATCCATAAGCTGTAGCAAAAGCAAAATTTGCCTCTTAACTCAGATCAAACAAGTAGCTTATAGAATAGGATCAGAAACTCCATCTTGCTTCTGGCAGGTTGCTAAGTATCCGTTTCTCTTAGCTCTAAGTATTAAGATGGAAGAAATATTTGGGTATTTCATATCTCTCAGGATAATGAAACTTCTGTATGTAATCTTACTGACACTGTACCATCAGAAGTTCTCTTTAAATGAAAATATTCCACGATTCAACTCAACAACAGATCACTGAAGAACTGCTCCCTATGACATCTCTGCCAATACTTTCTCTCTCCTGCAAAACAAATCGAGCAATAGTAGTTCTGCTACTTCCACAGAAATTGTTTCAAATACCTAATTTTCCCCCAGGTTTTACTCCCCCTTGAATCACAGTATTTAATTTTTAGTCTCAGCATTTACATCCAGCTGGATGCGATCAGAATCAACCTGATCCTGAAAGCAGAGCTTAGGGTTAGGAATTTCAGTTCCACAGAGCCCCGTTGAGAGAGTCCAGTTTTGTAAAAGCCGCTCATCTCCTCCGTTCTGGTAACTGCAGCCGCAAAATGAGAACATTACTGCTTCTTTATAGATGCCATATGGAAAGGTAATGAATGCTGGTACAGATCTTCATGAATCAAATACAACAAATGTTAACAGCTTAAATTTAACTTTACCTGTTCTAAGTATTTTCCTAACTCCGAACCAAATAAGGCACAGTGAAAGATAGTAATTTTTACCTAAACCCTACTATCATTTCTAGTTCTCTTTCAAATTGACCTAGATCTCAATATGAACGGTTCTGTTATATTAAAGTTAAATCTGATCCTACAGGTAGGTAAAGATGTGTCTGACAAGTTGTAAAAATTAGGGTTTAACTATAATATATTTTTGCTTCTTATTTGCCCTACAGCTTCCACAAACTCAGTACAATTATTACTTCTTGTCTACTTTTCTGCTCCACATTATTTTTTTATGCTTTGGGAGAAGTCAAATCTCTATTTAGTATCAAGTACCAAATATTTAATATCACAAAACTGTGTAATTAATATTTTCGCACCGTCCTCTTGACAAATAATTCCAGAGCCTACATAAGGTCTGAGTGAACCCTAATGAAAATCCTCTCAATAAAAAATATTGCCACTGCTGTTTTTAGTGTTTAGTCTGACCACTTTCTACTGCATAACAGTATGCAGTCCAATTGATTTGAACTCTTTTTTTTTTCAAAGGTACTGTAGTAACTTTAGATGCACAAGATGAGCATATACAAGATGTGACACTCTTTTGACACTCAAACAAGTATTCGTTAAATATTAAATCCTATTTGCATTAACTTTCTGCTACTTTAGCAACTATAGGATCAATTTAAAACAATAAAAAAAATAATCTGTTAAAAAAGAAAGGTTTCCCCCAATATTCTTTGAATGCTCACCCTACTTTTTGTTTGAGAGGTAAAGTCCACCTTTTGTTTCTCTGTTTAGAGAGGCTTTTTCCCCTTCCTAATTTGCAGTAAGACATGAGGCATATTACATACCCATAAGCTTTTCAAGGCATCCTAAATTAAAGAATGAGAAGTCAAATTATTTTGAAAATACTTATTCATACCTATCAACTAAAACACCCTTGGTAGTTAACCCTCTTTTCAGATCTTCTTTGGGTTACCATATTCTTTACAGGAGACGCTTGCTACAACAAGCAGGTAGTCAAACATTTGGTCATGCCTCAGCAGTTTTCCAGCCCCCAACACCTGCCTAAGACAATGAAAGTTTTCATGTAGACCACTTTGTTACATATGGAAAGGTAGATGCAGACACTTCTCAAAGTAGACTTAGACTCAAGAAAGTGGTGTCCTCAATACTAATTAGGACTTCAAGACAAAGTGTTCTCTCTGTTTTTAGAAAGGCTATGGTATACAGGAAATTTAAGTTGGTTCTCATTAAACTTGATGAAAATCTTGCCATCGCTGAATTTAACACAAAAATTTTGGAGTATATAACCAGTGGCAATACTTTCTGCTGCAATTAAAAAAATTAAAAATGCCTAACAATACTGCAAACAGCCAAAAGCTTGAAATGTTAAATTAAGACGACACAAGGTGTGGTACTCCAAATGCAGTATTCTGAAAGCTGAAATTGTGTTTTCTGTCTTTTTTTTGCCCCCTCTCTACACATTGAAATGAGGCTGCCTGTGATCAGGCCTGCTTTCAGTTTCTTGACTTCACTGGAAAGCTCTTAAGACAAGAAGTAAGTTTTGCGTAGAGACTCTCACCATCTTTCACCTTACCTTTTTGTCTTTAGCAGAGAAGATCACGCAGTGATCCCAGACAAAAATGCTCACACCTGTCTGATGTTATTTCAGTTCTTAAACTTTAAGAAAACAGGACGCTATCCAGTTGGCTAATGCTAGATCAATGAGTTTAAGTACATGCAATGTGTATGTACAGCTTCTCCAGGTACACGTGTCATGGTTTGATGTGGAGGGGGGGGTGGTTCTGGTGGCAGGAGAGGGGTTTTGGTCCCTGTGACCTCCCCGGTTTTGGAACCGGGTTAGGCTTAGTTCTGGCCACCAGATCAGACTGCCATCCCCCTCGGGGTTGAGCCAATAGGGCGCCTCTGCGAATTGCCCTATTTAAGTCAGGACAAAGGGACCGGAAAAGGTGCTTCGCCCAGGATCGAGCAGAGAAGGGAGGAGGGCCCTCCCCCCGCTCCCTGGCTCCCGGCCGGGCAGCTGCCTGCGTCGGGCCGGCGCTGCCCACGGAGGATGGCGGCGGCGGAGCCAGCTGGGGAACTCGGGGCACCCCCCTCCTGGGTTGCCCACTGGGCTGAGTTCACCTGGAGAGGACTGAGATCTGAGAGAAACAGCTGCATCGACAGCAGGTCAGTGAGGATGGAGCGGGAGGAGGTGTGCCGGAGCCGAGTTTCCCCTGCGGCTGATGGTGAGATAGCAGGCGGTCCCCCTGCAACCAGGA